CACACACACACACACACACACACACACACACACACACACACACACACACACACACACACATATGTATCTATATATTACACTCCTGATCAAAATTTTAAGACCAAATGAAAAATGACAATATTTCTCATTTTACACTGTTGGATTGAAAGAAGGCTCTAAGCAGAGCATCGAAATGCAAAATGAAGAAATGGGCGTGAGACAAAAATAAACCTGAGTAAGCATTTTACTGCAAAGTATTAAACAGAAATGAGCTGTTCATCAGCTGATCAGAAATTTAAGACCATATACCAAAAAAAAAAACTCAAACCGCTCTAAAATCAAAATAAAATTTGACAAAAAGGACTCAGTGTCTGTGCCATTCTTGTTAATCGCTTCAAATTTTTAAAAAACGTAAACTTTTTATCGATTGATGAACAGCTTTTTGAAAATAAAATGTTTACTCAGATGTATGTTTGTTTGTTTTGTCTCTCTCCCATTTCTTGTTTTTGCATTTCAAAGCTCTACTTAGAAACTTCTTAGGATCAAACTGTGTAAAATATGAATTCTTGCCATTTCTCAACAGGTTTTAAAAAAATTTAAATTTTAGTTTGACTTTATTCAGACAAAATATAAAAATAAAAAACTATCACAAACTCACCAAACATTTAAATGAAATATATTTTAATGGTTTTAAACAGGATTTTTATTCATTTCTGTCCCAAGCCACTGAGGACAATCAGTGAGAGCAAACTGAGGAGGTGTATTGGAGTGGGGCATCTGCATTTAAACCAAGGCGCCCAGCTCTTTATGGTTTTTCGTGAAATCATTGTTTTTTTCCCAAATAAAAATAGAACCTTTTTTTTGTAGGGATTAGTTTCTGCATTTTAAAGAGACTAAGACCAAATAACCTGAATGGTTTTGTTGTGGTGCAGATCTACTTCTACTGGCTGTGTCCGGAGACTGAGGCCTTCGAGTGGTTCGCTGACTTGCTCCAGTCTTTGGAGCGACAGATGGCAGACAAAAACATGGCCGACTTCCTCAGCTACAACATCTACCTGACCCGCTGGAAACAGACTGAGGTATTAGACAAAAGAGCTATGTTCAGCTAAGAGCAGGAGGGCGTTAGTGTTAAAACAGCTGAATAAAAACCAGCATGTGATGGACGGTCTTTGCAGGGGTGCCTCCAGCAATTTTGGGCCCCATGACTAAAAATCTAATTGGGCCCCCTCGCGCAGCTGCTCTCACCACATCTTTAAGGCTTCATTCACACTGCAGGGCTTAATGTTCAGTTCTAATTTTTAGAAAAAATCTGATATTTTGGCATGAATGTTCACATTACATTTTAAATGCAACTTCCATCGGACTCCAGTGTGAACTCTCCACAGCTCTGATGTGATCCACATGCACAGATAAAGATGTGACGCCACATGGTGTTTACAGAAGTAGCTAAACATGGATGATACTTCTAGCGTGTTGATTCTGAAGTTGTTCAATCAGAGGTGATGAAATATTTATCTGATACGCTTGTTTAGTTCAGTGTTTATTAGGGTTGGGCAATATTGGCAAAAAAATTAATCACGATTAATTGTGGTATTTAGCAGATAACGATTAATTTGACGATTAATGCCCTGGAGTCCCTGGACACACTTATGTCGTAGTCACATGACCAATTTAGTGAGAAAGATTTGATCTTTGTAAAAAATTGTTCCAAACTGTGTGAAAATTACAGATTTCAGGCTATACATCATATTTTAAATTGTGTTTATAGATAAATAAATTACAGAACTTTATTTTTAATGTTCATCATATTTGAAGCAGAGAGGAGCACCAAGCAGACTGACCGGAGTAATCC